CCGGCCCATTCCTCTGGTGGCCTCTCGCCCTTACCACCCCTCGATGGACAGAAGGAGTCGCAGGACCAGCGGAATGCCAAAGGAGAAGCTGAAGATGACCACCAGGAACTGGATGGCCATGATGCCAGCGATGTTTTGCCCATCGCCGCCCTTCAGCTGGCTGACCAGCAGGGCGGCCGTGGCGGCCGGCACCGTCATGTTCAGATACAGCAGGAGCTGCAGCGGGATGTCACTGGCCGGGATGATGCCCAGCCGCCGGAGGCCCAGCACCAGGAAGAAGGACACCACCGGCATGACCAGCACCTTGGTCAGGGAGAAAATCAGCGTCGAGGAGAGCGGGATGCGCGCCTCGAACTCGGCCAGCGGCGTGCCACAAGGCAAGACCAGTCGCTCGACCAGCAGATCGATGTCGGCCCCGGCGCCGGCCTGCTGCAGCATCAGGGTCTGATGGTTCTTGCCGGTGTCGCCGAATGCCGGGGGAAGGGGCATCGACCCGGGGGCGCTGGCTTCGGCACTGGAATTCCCCCCGACACTGTGCGGACTGCCATCGGCGATGGTGGTGACGGCGGAGGAGCCGGAGGGGGAGGACCGAGAGGCGTCCTTGCCGCCGGAGGGCCCACCACTCCCCTTGACCTCGGCCAGCCGGTCATCATCGCCAGCCCGGGGATAGCCCATGCCCGAGGAGGGGGAGGACAGGTCCGCCATGGGGAAGGCATCCTCATCGTCCTCCTCGGGGAAGAGGTTATCCCCGGGATGGCCCGTGCTGCCGGCCATCAGGGGATTCGTGTCGGCGGCCTGGGTGTCAAGGCTGGCGGCCGCCACTCCGGCGGCGATCTCCGACGCGGCCGCGCGCTGGCGCTGATACCGAGCCACTTCGGCACGAACAAAGCGCTCCAGCGCCGCACCGACAATCATCAACCCCAGCGGCACGGCCGCCTGCCCGGTCAAATCCGTCGCACTGAGCACCCAGCCCAGGGCCGGGCCGAATTCCGATCCTCCAGCCACCGCCAACGAGTCGGCCGGGGCCACGAACAGCCGCCGGAACCCCGGGATCAAGCCAATGACCAGGGCACAGATCATGGTCAAGTTCGGGGGCATCTGGGCCATTTCCCAGGCCCGCTTGCCGGCGGCCCGGGTGCCAGACACCACGATGGCCCAGCCACGCTGCAGCCCGGACCCGGAGCCCCGGCCACCATCGGCACCCTCATCGGCCAGATCCTCATGCATGGGCAAGTGACCAAACTCATCATCCAAATCTCGCAACATGAGGCTGTGCTCATGGGCCGCCTGCAGGTGGCTCAGCTCGGCCGAGGCCGACATGTCCGACATGCTGACCCGGGCCGAGGAGGCCGCCGACATCCGGCGATGCTGGGGATGGTGATGATACGCGCCGGGGTGGTGCATGGCGGCGAAGCTGCTGCGCAGGGGGGCCGAATCCAGCATGTACCCATGCGAGCCGGCCAGGGAATCCGGGCCAAGAGTCGCCACCCCGGGCCCGGGGCTGGCGAAGCCACTGCCCCCGGCGGCCAGCACCGGCGAAAAGCCCATGGCCATGGATGTGCGTGCCGGGCTGAATGGGCCCCCGGCGGCGGTCAGAGCCCCGGTCTCATCGAAGCCCGAGTGCCGGCTGCGGATGCTGGCAAAGCTGGCCCGCGACTGGGGGTCCATCTCCGACGGGTTGGCCGGGCGGAAGCGCGGAGCCACGGTGGTCACCTCGGCCAGTGTGGGCCCGGGGGTGGTGTTGTGCCCGCGGGCAATTGACGCGGCGATGGCCATCGACCGCCGGGCGCGCTGCTCACCGCCGACCATGCTCAGGCGCACGGTCTCCACGAGGTCCTCCTCATCGCGGATCAGCGACGAGGCCTCGGCCCCGGGGACCTTGTGGCTGAGCTCGGCCAGGGCTTCGTCGAGCATGGCGCGCGCCAGCTCCCGCCGCACCCGGGGGAGTTCCTGGGCGTCCACCTCCAGCAGGGCGTCGGCCACGGTGAAGGAAATGATCGTGGCCACCATGGAGTACATGGCCGCGAAGCCGAAGACTCGCGTGTCATCCCCCGGGGCGAAGGGCGGCACGAAGCCACACACCGAGGTGACCAGGGCGAAAATGAGATCGCCCTGTGGCAGACGGCAATAGGGGGGGGGGGGGAAGGGTCAGCATGAGAGGAGGACCACGGTGGCGAGCGACCGGGTGTGAAGGGGCGGCAGCGGCGGCGGCACCGCCAGATGGATGCGTGGGGAACATACGACATTGCCGAGGAGCATGCAAACGACCATGCCCCAGCGGAAGGTGCGCGGGGGATTGAGGACCTTGCGCAAGAGCATACCCAGCAGGAAGAGCAGCAGGTGATAGATGAGTGCGATCGGGACGATGAGGCTATATGGGGTAGTGGGCAGGGGGGGGGGGGGGATTAGCTTTGGTCCGAAGGCAGGATGGGAAAACTGACTCGACATGGGGCTCACGAACCTGATGACCGAGAGCGGGCTGGTCTCCAGAGCGCGAATGATGCTGCCGAAGAAGAGACACGGCAGGGTGACATGGTAGTTGATCTGCAAGGAGAGAGGAACAGAGGGGGGAAGGGTCAGTGCTGGGGCCGGGCACCGATAAGGCCAGCAAGCGAGAGCCGAAGGGGATGGGGGGATGGGGGGATGGGGGGGGGGGCGCGAGGGAGCTGGGGAGGCGCACCGCCGAAACATGGCGCGAGATCTGCAAAGTGAAAAAGCCACGGAAGGAGAGGAAGGCTCCGATGACTGAGTCGAGAAGGAGGGGGGAGGGATGTGAGCACAGGTGGGGAAAAAGCAGGCAGGCAGGGAAAGCGAGGAGCGAGCATGCATGCGGTGGGATCCCATGAGCGCACTGATCGAGAAGTACACCTTGAAGACGGACATGGTGGTCAGGCCGACGAAGGGCAGATACTCGAGGGGCAGGCCGCCAGACGATCCGGATGACGCAGAGAGGACCGTCTCGATGAGCGTGTTGGCCGCCGGGAGCCCGGCCAGGATCGAGGTGTCCGCCATCGCGGCAGGGGTATGTGGCTAGCGGGCACCCAGCACCGGTCCAGGGGAGGTGAGGCGGGAGGAGGGAGGGAGGGGGGGGGCAGAGCAGAGGCCGGAGAAGGGGCACAGGGGGCAGAGGAGGGGGGAGAGGGAGCACGGAAGCGAGGGAAGGGGAAGGGAAGGTGCTCACGGGCAGGAAGAAGCCCCCGGGGGAGGTGCGATGCGTGTTGCCATACCTGCGCCCCGGGAACAGGGAACGGCAGGGGGCCCCGAGAAAAACGGCATACATGCCGGAGAGATCTCTCCGACATGTGTGTGTGTGTGTGTGTGTGTGTGTGTATCCGCCTGTGTGCGTGTGGATGTTGCGCATGTGCGGGTGCGGCGGCAGTGAGGGCCAGCTGGGGCCATCGAGACGGAGCGCGCGACCCTGCCGTGGAGGGGGGCACCCATGCTGGTCGCCCCCTCCTGGCCTTCCCCCCCCCCCCCCCCGCGTTTGCGGTTGTATAATCGGCCCAGGGAAAACAAGCAGCCCAGGGTGCGGCTGACGATGGAGCCGGCTGATGTCCTCGTCGCCACCGGCCGGCCGGCCGGCCCGCCCGGCCAGTCCCCATCCCTTGGCTCCCCTCCCCGCGTGGGCGCCGGACGCCATATGGGTATGTCGGGGGCGAGGTGGAGTGGGGAATGTCCCAACCGGGAGGAAAGCCGGGACGCGCGGCGAGGGGTGAAGCCCGGCACCCCGCGCCCGGCACATTGTTGCTGCGAGAGAGGTGGCGGGGGACAGCTGGGGCGGGGGGGGGGGGGGGGGGGGGGGGGGGCAGGACACGACCAGTAGGGCGAATCGACGCCCACGCCCCTGCCCGCGCCCCGGGCCGCCACCGGCCGGGAATGTCCGCCTGCGGGTGCGCATGTGCGGTGCGCGAGTGCAGGGGATTGTTGTTGTTGTCGTTGTTGCTGCAGGAGCCACGGCCCAAGGGTCGGGCACGGTCTGATGGTCGGTTGCGAGGCGCCGTGGGGATGATGGGGGGGGGGGGGGACGGGCATGAAGCGCTCGTTGGGACCACCACCGTCCGCAACGTGGATTGTGTCCGGCGATCCCCCCTCCCCTTCGAGCCCGGGCTTGGTGAGGCGAGGAAGCCCACGGGTGCCCGGCGACCGGCGGGTGTCCTTGCTTATGGGCGTGAAATTTCCGCGACCGCCCCCTCCCCCGGGGCCCTGGGGCGCGCTCGGCGCGCGTCGGCAGCACGGCCCATGCATGCGCGGCCGGACACCCCGAGGCCCGACGTCGATAATCCTGGCATCCGGGCAAGCTGTTCGCGCGGACCCGGCTCTCATGGGGACAGGCCGCGGCATGGGACGGGGGGGCCCCCCTGACCGGCCCCGCTCCGTAGTCTCTCCGCAAGGAATGCCCCCCCTCTCCGCCCCTCCCGCGGCCACTCCCGCGTCTGGCGTACTGCGCCCGTAACCACAACATCGACCGTCAGCCCAGGGGACCCGGGGGCGGCGGGAGGCCGCGGAAAACACGACCACACAGTGTCTTGCCCCCCAAGGTGGCTAGGGGCCGGTGCTCGCCGGCGCGTCCTCCCCCCCCCCCTCCAAAACCGGGTGTTACAGCGCTGTGCAGACGCACGGCGAGCGGGCTTACCGGGCATATATGCCCACTGTCCGTGCGCGGTTGGACACACGCCTCAAGGAGAGGGGGTCACCCCAAGGGGCACAGGTGGCGATGCGCTCCAAAGGGCGCCGCAGGGTTAAGGGTCGATTAACGAGCACCGGGCCATGTGGATGCCGGGATATCATGTGTCACGGGAAGGATCAGACGACCTCGCTCGCTCTCCGGCCCCCCGGATGGCGATCTGTCGCACCGCGAAGAGCGGCCGCCGGGCGCGAGTGCGCACCCGAAACGCTCTTCCTCCACGCCCCGGGCGACGGAGCAACCGCGTTTCCCCGCGCGCCCCGCTCCCCGCCCCTCGGCTGAAAGATATCGACCGAAGCTGGGGGGGGCGGGGGGGTGCCCAATCGGCGATCGACCCCCCATGTCGGATCGATCGTCGCGTATTTCGTCGCTTCCACCCCCCTCAGGTACGCGCGCGCGCGCGCACGCGTGCGAGCGTGCTAGAACCACATGCTACCCGGACCGCGGGCGCCCCCCTCCCCCTGCCCGAGTTGCCTTTCTCAAACGCCATCCCAAACACCGGCTGACCAGCGGGCCCCGACGGCCAGAGAAGCCCAGCCGCGCAGTATTCGTCCCTCTCGGGCGGGGGGGGGGGGGGTACCGAGTCTCGCCCGCCCCCTCCCCTGTCCCGGCTCCTGCCCGATTTTACCCTGTAACACGGAGCGCCCCCCCCAGAATGGGCATTTCAACATGACAATGCGCGGATGTGTCGCACGGTCAACACCGCACAGGGCGATGTAGCAACAACAATAATAACAGACATTTGTTGGGTGTCTGCCCCCTCGCCCCCCTCCGGCCGCACTTGGCCTCTTGTCCGGCCCGTGAGAGCACTTGGCTGCCTCGGCCACGTCGGCGATCTCTCTTTTTTTTGGCTGAGGCCTGGCCTCCGCGTCCAAACGCGTGGCCAACAGCCCCCAGTCTTCTCTCCCTCCCCCGCCCCTCTCTCTCTCTCCTTCTCTTTCTTTCTTCCTCCCTTCTCTCTCTCTCTCTCTCGCTCGCCCTCCTCCTCCTCCTCCTCCTCCTCCCAACACCCCCTCTCTCCGCTCTCCTCCTTACCCCGCTTGCCGACGCCGCGTGCCCCGCCCTCGATGAGCGGCCAGCCGGGTGCCGCGCACGATGAAAGTGCCTCCCAGCCACTGACACCGCCGGACTTGGGCGACGTATCGCCCAGCCTGCTGGGTTTTGATCCGGCCGCCTTTACCCTGGACACGGCCCTCCCCCCGCCGGGAGCGGGCTTCTTCCCACCGACCATGTTTCTTCCCCCGGCAGCCGCGGCCGCGGCTCTCATGCCCCTTCCCCCTTCCTGGGATGACACCCTGCGCGCCTATTCCCAGACTGGAAGCGGCATCGGCGCCAGCCCCAACACCGGTGCCGGCCACAGTAACAGCAGCAACAGCAACAGCAACAGCACCCCCCGCTCCACCGTTCCCGCCAGCACCGATGCCGGCACCAGCAGCGGCACCGGCGCCGCCCCCCTGTCTCCCGGTCTTCGCCAAAGGTCCTTGCTTTGGCTCCCCCTAATTGCCTCCCTCCCTCCCCCCTCCCCCCTCCCTCGCCCTCTCCCGCTCAGCCACTGACCCCCCTGGTGGTTGCTTCACACAGCTGGCTCCCCGCTCATGGCGCTGGGCTAGCCCAGGCGCTGGACTGCCTGGCCAATCCCCATTTCTCGCAGGGCTTTTCGGCTTCATCCTCATCCGGGGATTCGGCCTCCTTGGCCCCTGGAGCCGTGGGCCTGCCGCCGCACGGCAACAGCCCCGGTTCCTCGGCGTCCTCGATGGCGCTGTCCGGGTCGATCCTCTTCGACTCGGCGGCCTCGTCGATTTCCTCATCCCCAGGGACAACTCGGACTGCCAGCGCCCCTGTCCCGACCCTGACACCCATGGCTGACTCTGGCACCTTGCCTCCGGAGCTGAATGTCGATCGGTCGCCGCGGCCCTCCGGACGGCACCCTAGCTCGAGGTCCTCATCGTCCTTCTCTTCGGGCCCGGAGCATGGGCACGGCCTCGGCCGGGCCAGTACCCCGGCGCCCAGTCGCACGGGCAGCCTGCTCGGACCGCTCGCCGGGCTGGACTTCGTCGAGGGGATCCCCCCTTCGCCGTCGAGTGGGTCCAGTGCCTTCCTGCCATCGGGCTTCCCGCTCTTCCGGGGCCCGGGAATGATGGGGCAAGTCCCCGGCGGCGGGCCCCTCTCGGATGTGCCCTTCCATGGGACCTCTCATTTGGACCTTCTGGGATCCATGCCTGGGCCGTTTGCCGGTATGAATGCCGGCGTCCCATCGGCCGGGCCCCCTGGGGCACATGGCCTCAGCCTGAGCGATGCCTCTTTCTCCGACATCTTTGACTTGTCCTCGGTGGCCCCCTCGGGCTTTTTGATCGAGGACCCGGCTGCCCGGGGCGGTCCCCAGCGCAGTGCCTTCCGTCGACGCATGGGTCACCTGTTTGAGGCCGGCGCCATGGTCCTGTCACTGGTGTATGTGGGCTTCTATGTCCTGTGCCAGGTGTGTCCGTCGCTTGTGCCGCAGCCATCGGCTCTCCGTTCCCCTTTTTTCCTTCCCCCGCGCCCGCCTCGCTGCCTTCCTCCTTCTGCTGACTCCCTTCGCTCGCCCGCCTGTCCTCCCCCCCCCCTCCCCCCCATCGTGCCGATTTTTCTCGGTTTCCTCATGCCATGTCTCGCCCTGCTGCCGGTGTATCTGGCTCAGATTTTCATCAACTACCTGATGCCGGACCGCCTGACCCGGGCGGCTCTGAAGAAGGAGCTGGCCCTGGCGCGGACATATCCCGAGTGGCGCCGCGTGGCCCTGTCGTTGGACTGTCTAGACGGGTACAGTGCCTGGCGAATTGCCCCACGGCCGCCGGCGGCCCTCGGTGGGGGGGATCCCTGTGCCGGTGATTCACAACACCCGGCCGACCCGATCGAAGAGCCGGAGGAGGAGGAGTACTTCGATGCGCCGGCCCTGCGAGCACATGTGAAGCGCCTCCGCTGCGCGCAGGATATCGCCTTGCGCAACGGCGACTACGTAGCCTTGCGGTATCTGGTCCGGGCACTGATGATCCGCAATCTTGGCGGCACGGCCGACCGGCGCCTCTACACTGGCTGGGTCAGTGGCAGCACCAAGGCCCTCATTGAGATTGTGCGTGAAGTAGCCCCTTGTTGGAGCTGCCCCATGCTGCTACCTTTCTCCTACATCTGCAGGCGCACCCACTCACACGGTCATACGCCGGCACACACGCACACACCGACACACACACCGACACACACACCGACACACACACCGACACACACACCGACACACACCGACACACACACACACACACGCGGACACGTGCACGCGCGCGCGCTCGCACTCAGTTCGTCTCGCAGCTCGCCGAGGCCATTCAAGTATTGTCGCTGCCACATATCCCGCGACTGACGCTCCTGGCGCCGGAGCATCAGGCGGCCCTCGCACCTACACGCTCAGCCGCCGAGGCTCCCGGCTACCCGGGCCTGCCAATGATCGGCAGCGGACTCAGTGCCACCGAGCGGCGAACAGCGTTGCGCCATGCACAGCAGTCCCTCGGCCGGACATGCCTGGCCCTGTGCGGGGGCATTGGCTCGGCCCGGGGGGCACAGCACCTCGGTGTGGTGAAGGCCCTCTTTGAGATGAGTCCACTGCGGTTGCGGAACTCGGTGATTCCCCGCCGGGGCGCGGGCGCCAGCGGCCCCTCCACCGCCCGGCCCAATGTGGCCACCCCTTCGCAAGAGACGTCCCCCCTGTTGGAATCGCTGGTTTTGTCACCGCCGGCCGCCGGCCAAAGCACGGCCCAGCTTCGGCTGCCGTCTCCCGGCGCCCGGGGCACCTCCCCGGCGCCCGACCCCTTCGAGCGGGGCATCTTGCCGACCATCTTCTATGGGACCGATGTCGGGGCCATCGTGGCGGCCTTTGTTTGCGTCCGGACCGACGTGCGTGTCTGTCTCCTGGGCAGGGCCGCGCGGTGAAGGAAAGGCTCGGGACATACTGGCTAGGAGGAGGAGGGGGGAGGGGAAGGTGCAAGGAAATTATTCAGGAAACAACTTCGTTGTCTCCCCTTCTCTCGGATACGCCGAAGGGCCTCCTTTATATACCTACGAGGAGGGGGGGGGGAGAGCACGGCACCCAGAGGGGGGGGGGGGGGGGGGTCAGCTCGGGGGGGGGGGGGGGGGGGGGGGGGGGGGACCGGGCGGGAGCTGTCGTTGCTGTTGTGTTTCATTGATTGTGGCCTGCTCCCAGGCACACCTGCCTCCTCCTCACCCTGCTGTCTCTCCTCCTCGGGGTCTCCCCCCTTCTCGCTTTCTTCACCCCGCCACCAGGCCGAGCTTCGGGAGTTCTTCACCACCGGCGACCAGACATTGGACTTCTCCATCTTCTATCAGCACAACACTCCCTCTGGTACGCCCATGGCCGCGCCGTTTGTGCCTCTCCATTCTCCAAGTGCCCGGCGTCTGCTGACACCGGCATAGATACTGGCGACGCTCCCGTCGAGGGATTCTCCTCCTCATCGGCCTCGCTGCGCCGGCGCTTTGATCGCTTCATCCAGCATGGGGTCTTCTTCGATGCGGCGGTCTTGCGGCGCTTTGTGCGGGCCAAACTGCGGGTCAGCTTCCAACAGGCCCCCATGGTCGCCGGCGCATCTGTCCATGGGGGGTCTCCCCCGGCGTCCAGCTTCACCACGCACATGGTGGCCAATTTGCTGTCCGGCTCATCGCAATACCAGTCGGTCCGGTGCGGGTGCACCATCCGGTCTCTGGACACCGAGGAGGCGTCGCACGCGACCGAAGCACGCAATTGCCCTCACCCCGACCCTCTGACTCGGGTCTGCCCGCAGGCCTGGATCGAGGACATCACTTTCATGGAGGCCTTCGAGCGCTCGGGCCGGGTGCTCAACATCCGCGTGACTGATGGCCTGGTGCTCAACTACCTGACCGCGCCGAATGCCGTGCGTCTCTCTCTCCCTCTCTCCCTCTCTCCCTCTCTCCCTCTCCCTCCCTCTCTCTCCCTCTCTCTCTCCCTCTCTCCCTCTCTCCCTCTCTCCCTCTCCCTCCCTCTCTCTCCCTCCCTCTCCCTCCCCCCTTCTCCTCCTCCCCCCCCCTCTCTCCCCCTCTCTCTCTCTCTCCCCCTCCCCCCTCTCCCCCCCCCCCCCTCCTCCCTCTCTCTCCCTCTCCCTCTCCCTGCCGG